AGTGCTGGCCTCTGACCATGCAGTCTCCTGCCCCACAGGATGTCATGTCCCAGCCCCAGGCTCCCTCCCACCAAGGCTCTTTGCTCTCCCAGACTCAGCTCAGCACAGCTGCCCCCCTCAGCAGCCATACCCACACCTTCTGTCAGGGCTTCCAGTTTTCATCATGGTCCCATTTCTCCCTCAGCTCCCATTTTTTCTCCCATCAGCCTCCTTCTCCCTCCACCTGCTCCATCGCCTTACCCTGCTCTACAACTCCCTGAGGTTTCCCTGCTCAGGCAAACCCCGTCCCCCATCCTTGCTGATAATACTCGCAGCCTCTCCTGATGTATTTTCTCTTGGGCACCGAGGACCCTCCCCAGGCCACTGCCCATCCCAGACAGTCCCCTCCAGGGATGAAGTGCCCAACCCAAGGATGCCACAGCAGCCAGCAGTGGGGAAGTCCAACATCGAGTCTGTGCCCTGAGAGAAAAACATGAGAGGAGCCAGTTGCTGGGAAAGGAAGAGAAATGCAACTTCTGGGGTCCCGCAGAGCTAGGACATCTTGAGGCATGAATCAGCAGAGATTTTACCTTCAGTGCTCATACAAGCCTTTACTAAGCATGTGCCATTTTGGGGTGGTTTGAATACTTTTAGCCTGGCCGAGAGCAGATGATATTCTGAAGGAGCACCATCCTTGACAGACCAGCGGGGCCACAGGACAGGTCTTTGCTTCCAAGTATGGGGACCCACGAGCAGTTTGTGGAAGCCCTCACCTGGGTCCTGCTGGTGCTGCAAAAACCTTCATGTTATTCCTGGAGGTGATGAGACCATTTGGGCTGAATATGGGACCCTCAGCCTGACACAGTCAACTGCTGTGGAGAGTTTGGGCCAAAATGGTTAATATTTGGCAGAATTACAACTATCCGAAAGTATGATTTACAACAGAAAATACCAAACATTGTTAATAATAGGCAGAGGTGGTTGCCACACTTGTCATCACAATTGTTGCCCAGCTAATTAACATTTTTAAAAGTTGGTAATTTAGAGGTGCAATGTGACACAGACAAAATTGAGATCGCTCTGAGATCCATCTAAAATGCCAGGAAGCAGTTTGGTGTAAGAAAACCTACAGTTTTTTAGCAGCTTCTCAAAGAAGGGACAAAAGGGGAAATGAAAAGGGGGGATATAAATAGAAGTGTACAGGACTGCCTTTTTGGGAGTGAGGGAGGATGTCTGGGAGGGAAAAGAAGAGATCTTTTCTGCCAAAAAAATATGGCCGATATATGTATTTGCAATTCAGTTCCAGAGGATGAACTAGGCTGAGATGCCACCTGGAGTTCTGGAGGGGCGGCACAGCAGTGACCTGCGGGTGGGCAGCCCCGTGCCGGCAGCGGGGCCAAGCTGCTGCCCCGTGCCG